TTTAGTGATTTTCACGTTTTTTGTATTATTTTTGGGCTGAACATTCGCTTATTTGAAGCCCAATTCGTGGTTATTAGGTTTAGGACTTAGGGTGTTAGTTTCCTATTCTGATTAGGATTTGTTTTCTCTATTTAAAAGCCTTGTAACCCTAATGGGGAAGGGGGGCTATTGAATTTGAGATTTTGAGAGACTTTTCTCTTTGGTTCGTTTCAGAACTTTACAGAACTTATCAAGATTATTCTTGTGGCGTTCTAACCTGATTTATCATTCTCGTTCTTAATCGTTCGAGGGTGTGGCATCAACCAACTTTATACCTCTGGTTCTTGTTGCATCATAGACAACGGGTCAAGGTTTTTACCTTTGGTTCTTGTTGCGACATAAACAACGGGTCAAGGTCCTATTATAAACTTGATTTAGCTTTCCTGGAGTTTAGAAATCCCTTGTCGTGTTGTGGGTCTCATTGTTCTCTTTGGGGTTCTCATCAGGAACCTAGCGACTAGGTTCCTCGCGGAACCCATAATCTAGGTTCCACAAACCCAACGACTAGGTTTCGCAAAGAACCCAGAATCAAGGTTCCACGAACCCAACTTGTGGGTTCCTCGTGGAACCCAACTTTTGGGTTCCTCGTGGAACCCAGACCGAATTTTTTTTTTTTCCTCCCAAAGCTAAAAACTAGAAAGCTCAGACTCAATCGAAACATAATCTCTAAAGATCTTACCACAATACAGTGAACGAATGGTTTCCATTGGAGCTTTGAGCGGTGGATTTTTGTTGCAGTAGCTATGGCTCTTCAAGCCACTTTAATCTTGGAGGCATTTTTTCTGTATGCTGCACCCCCGGAAAGACATCCACCCACCACTATTGCCACCGCACTCTGATCCAAGCATAGGGTAAAATTTTCGTTCCCTCGTCCTTTTTCCATTTTCTTTTGAGTTTCTGCTTTTCTGATTGAGATTTCATGATGGGCATGACGAATTTGAGTTGGGTTTTTCCTCTTTTTATTTTTTGGGAACCCAGACCTAGGTTCCACGAGGAACCTAGGAGGAAGACGATGCCGAGGGAGAGGAGAAATTAAAATTAATTAAAATTATGCCACATCATCAAAAAATAATCCGCATGCAGTGGGTCATACTACACACGTGTAGAAAATAAGTCACATCATCAAAAAATGGATTCACACTGGATTACTAATGCCACATAGTGCTACATCAATTTTTTGATGTCACATAGTGTAATTTTTAACGATGCCATGACGGTCTATTAAAATATTGGGTTTTTCACAGGTTTTGAAATATGAAGGGTGTGAATAGGGAAGAAAAATTTTGAAAAGTGTTGACCACGAAAATGACATAAACGGAGAATGCAAATAGAGGCTTTGGTTGTTATTTATTGTCCATTGTTGGAAACTGACATGGCGACATGTCATTGCCATGCCAAAAAAACAGAGGTCATTTTAAATGAGATAATAGGCTCCATCATATTTAACTCGCAGAATAATTAAAAAAAAATATTTTTTTAAAATTGAGAAATTTAAAAAAATATATACAATAATTAAGGAACAAAAATTCTACAAAATACTAAAATTAAGAAAATTAAAATTAACATTTAACTAATAGAAAATTAAAAAACAATCAGATCCTTGGCGAGAAAAATTCTAATTCCAAGATGTCCAAGGGACAAAATGAGAGCACGAGGCCACTACAACTACAAGCAGCAGCAAAAACAGGGAAATCATGACGCAATAATACCAATCAAAATCGTAGTCGCAATACCGAAACCAAGATATTTCATAATAAGACAAGGGGAAAATATAACCCATACACATTCGTCCGTAATAATGTTCACCATAATTGGATCGATGAGTTTACATAGCAAACGAATCCCTTCTATGGTACCAGTTAAAATATGATCATCAGAAGGTTTATTCCACTGAGCTTAATAGTACAGTAAGATTAAGCACACCTATATATGCTTACATATGGCAGCTCAACAGCAGTCTTCAGGGATGATGTGGCTTCTCCAAGTCCTCAAGGCTTGTTGGGCGGAACCAGGCCTTCTCCTCTAGCACTGAGTCCTCACCTTTGGCAGGTGGGAAATGAATGCCACGTTCGACACCAACACAAGTATTTTGCTCGGTTGCCGGTCCAAACACGCCAGTTTGGGGGTGCGGGGCCCAATACTTTTCTGACTGGGGCTGGATTACTTCATCAGGGACTACAGTCGGACGTACTTGATCATCCAGGTTCTTGTCATATGTGGATGCGTGGGCAGTTCTCCTGCATAATATTATCACTACTTGGTCACAACTGTTTCAAATGAACTTTCAGCTTAATTCCTTAATTCATTTGAACATATCCAAATGAGCTTTCGTCCCCTCATCTCCTCTCCATCCAAACATAGATTTAGAAAGAGTATAGTGCCATCACAACAGAAACATGAAAGCAAGAGAAACATATTTCCCAGCAAGTTTATTTATCAATGGATATTTTTCATTTAATCTATTGATTTAGATTATTTAAATTAAACATGGGCAGTTCTTCTAAGATATGGTGTAACTTGCTAGTATAAGTCGATCATAACTCTAATACATGTAATAATAAAAACTCTTACATTGGTCCATAATTTCCTGAACAAATAATATTTTTTAAAAATCAACCATTAAATTGACTATTTTACTCATACAGATCATCCACACCAAATTTCATTTTAATTAACTATGTTTAACTAGCTCATTAAGATAAGAAAATTTTATATTGCTAAATATTTTTAGAAAATACTATTTCTTTATAGTGATAGATGGGACAAAAATTGGGAACAAAAATTTAGGATTAATGACGTGACATAAACCATATCATTAGATGAGTTGATGCATACAATATCATGGTCCTAATAAAGTGAAAAGAGCCAATTAATAAATAATATAACATTCGCCTTTTACTATTTTAAATTTTTAAATGAAGTGGACTTTGGTCTCAAAATTTTGGTTTCATTTATCATTATTCTTTCTTTAATCAGATTGTTATAAATGTTGGATCAAATTGAAATTTAGCATGCATGATATCCATGATCTGTATAAATAAATAAAATAAAAGTCAATCCAACCATTCACTTGTCAAAAAATTAATATTAATTAATTGTACTAAAAATTATAGATGGGTAAGATTCTTGCACATGTAAAAAAAAAAAAAAAAACACCCCTAACCATATACTCCCAAGGTTCAACTTTAGCACAGCTAGCTTCTAATTGGAGAAATTCAAATTTAGTTGTCTTTTTTTTCATTTTAATCTATGATTTAATGCATTTATTCCTATTTTACCCTTTTTTATAAAAGATAATTGCATCATATATTAATTAAGAAGTCTTATTTAAGATGTATTTAATTAGGGATAAATATAAATTTTATTAATAAATTATTACTATCTTTATTTTATTGGACAAAAAATCCTAAGCAAACTAAAGTTGAAATGAAGAGAGTAAATAGAGAAAAGTGTTTATCAATGGGGCCTCTAAAAGGTTATGAAGAAAATAATCTTTAAACTATGTCATTCCAATAAATTTCATTAAAAAATACTAAAATAACCTATTTTAAAAATGAGAATAAGTCTATTTTGGTTATTTCCTATAATACTTTATTGAAATAAAGTTCTTATAAGGGCTGTTTTTTCACATAATTTTATAAGTATGCATGACATCTTTGTTTATAAATATATATAACACTAATCTTGGTTAAAATTATGTTAGTTTCAATAAGGCATCACAAAAAAGAATTAAAACAATATCATTTATATTTAAAAATAGGTTATTTTAGTGAATGACAGTTTTTGGTGTTTTTTTGCCCCATTTTATATGAATCGAGCTAATAAATATTTATGACATTAATGTTTATCAACCTGACCTCTAAAATATTATAAGGAAAAACACCCAAAACTATGTTATTTCACTAAAATACAATAGGAAAGATAGATTATTTTAAAAATAAATTATTTGTCTTTGTCAATAAGAATTTATTGAAATGACAATTTTAGAATAATTTTCCTTTTAATTTTATAAAAATCCTTTCAAGTTTTTTGAAAATCCAACTAATAAACCCTATATATATATATGAATAAGGATCCATTTCACAAGACTTACACACCTCATTTACACAAAATCTTTAACTATTTGTCTCTCCACCTTCGATAGTTGAGATTTATCACAACTTTTTTAATAAAAAAGATAGTTATTATTAATAAATATGATAAAGAGTGAATAAATCTCTACCATTACACCTAGAGAGAGAGTGAATAAATCTCCACCGTTAAACATAGAAAGATGGTG